GTGTTTCCAACTGTGTCCCATTATAAGGAGAACAGATTCTTATTGATCTTATGCAAATAACTATATTGCCATGAGTATAAGAATAGTCACTCACTACGAGTTCCTAATTTCTGGAGGCATCAGGTAGAGAGAAAAAGATAAATGGTTCAATTCTGCTCACAAAGATGTAATTTGCAAACTGCTATAAGCCATAGTTAGCTTAAGAGAAAACAGGAAAAGGTTTTCTTAAATCTGAAAAACAAAACGTTAAAAAATCAGCAATGTTTCAAATAAAAAAGTCATAAAAATTATAATCATCCTCATCAGTTCATTTAGTCCCATAACTCTTTATCTTTTGTTAGTGGTTTCATGAAGTCATCAGTTTCTCTGTTAGAGTTCTATAATTTCCCACTTAGTTCAGTTTTATGATCCAAAAGTTCATCAGAAATCAGTATGCTAGAGTAAGTGTCAGAGTCATTTCCATGAATCTCTCTGAAAATGAAGACATGCCTATTTCAATCAAACCAACAAACTTAAACAAGCTTTCATTTACCAAAGATCATTTACTTTAAACCAGTTAAATAGAGTTCTTAATTTAGGCCATACCATCTGGAGGTAGAAAAATATCTCACACTGTATGGGCTCAGGCAACCCTACTGACTTCCTTTAGTAAGCTTAATTAACATTATCTGAAGGGCAGATTTATATGCTGTTTTACCCTATCAATACTGGGGGAATGTTTCCCCCAGTGAGACACAATGTCTATCCCCACAGTACAATTTATAATACAATCATGCAAAAGAGCTGTAATCACTTAATTCCATCAACTCTTCTACCTCCAATCATAGCTTTCATTATGACTTCATCGAAACGTGTTGGGCTTATAGTATTGGGTTGGGGGAGCATTCCCACCAACTCATAATGTCCATTTTCATTACACACTGAGGTAAAGTTGATATACTCTTTATATAAAATTAGCTCAAACATTCCAACCTTTATAATCTTATCAACACTTATACTTTTACATTATTTTCTATTTAATTGTAGCTTGAGTCAGAGTCTTAAGGCTAGTTGTTATTTTTTTGCATTTCCTTTTTATTTTGGTCTTTTCATAGGTACCAATAAAAGAATTATGATGAGAGCTATCTAAAGATTTTTCCAATTTAGAAGTTTTTCCAATTTAAAGATCCATCATCTGGCAGTGTTCTCCAGAGTCTAAGGGATATTGTGGCCATGTGATGTTATAAAAGAATATCACCTTTTCCCTTTTTCATGGGCTAGTAGCTAAAAGTCACCCAATTTTGGAGAATGTAACCCGAGGCGCTAGAGGTGGGGATCGATTTAGTTTTCCCTATAGCTGACTTACACACAAGGTAAATGCACTCACACAAAGATAAAATCTAACTCTTGACAAATGCAAAATCAAAAGTAGACCCAAGTCCAATGCGTTTCTCCACTGCAAGCAAGCATTTTGCTGAGGGTGCCCAACAGCAGTGGGAAGGAGGGAGCAGAAGGAGAAGGCCCCTGGGCAAAGAAGCCTGGGCAGCTGCTGGGGACCACTGATCTCTTGAACCCTAACCCAGGCCATCCAGCCACAAGCACAAGAATCTGGGCTGTCTCACCAAAATTGATACCGAACCTCTTAATCGCAAGTTTGTGTGTGTGATGTGCAGTAAGCCAATCACTGAGACATCAGTGTTTGGAGATAGAGAAAGGTTTATTCGAATTGACCAAAATGAGAAGGTGGGAGGATGGGTTCTCTCAAATCTGCCTTAACAAGAGAAGAAAGCAACAGGGGGTTTTAAGGAGCTAAGGGGCTTGGCAGGAGGAGTTTCAGAGAAATGAAGGGGTCACTCCCGATGAAACCCTGGGCAATCGGACTTCTGGACATCAAAGGCAACTGGGGGCTGGTTATCTGGTGATGGTAACTTCCTTGAAGGCATTCTCCTTCTTCTGTAAAACAAGCTCATAAATCCTTGTGATCCTTGAGTCACCCCTCAGGTTAAACAAGAAAACAGCAAATTGACAAGATTGACTTCTTTTCATAACAAGGTAGAAAGGTAATCATATTGAATATTTACAGTAACCCACAGGTACCCAACTTCATATCGATTCCCTCTCCATCGTTTTTGTTTGTGTTTCCTGCCAGTTGATTTGGTGGTTTCTCCTGTAGTTTTCCCAAAGACGGTGCCTTCGCCGAAGACCTGTCCACATTGTGGTTGAACTTGATTACCTGTTCCCAGACAATTGCCTTCCCTTTACAGTAAATCAATGATGGAGGGACATCAGGGGTAGTACTGTGTACTTCATCCAGGAGGCGCACACCATCCAGCTGTCTCCCCAGTGGCCATGTGGCAGCCCTTGATGGTTACTGCTGAGATCCATTCATTCATTAGGCTCACCAAGTGGTAATAATGTAATTCTTCCTTTGTTTTTCTATCTTTATTGTTTGGACTATTCTACGCAAAAAGCACCTCTTTTTCTCACCTAAGTGAATGTCCTGAGGTCCAGGGCTTATGTGAATTTGAAAGGCAGGATAAATGGTTGAGACTTTATCTTATTTTTTTTTTAGCCAGTTTTGATAAAACACACCTGGTCCCCTCATCCTGTAAGCGAGAATTGGGCTGTCTATTCTTCTCCTGTTCCTGGGTAAGAAATGTTAAAAAACAAAATCCAGCTGAGTCAATTTTAAAGATATTACTGGCTTCATTCAACGATCCATGAAGCGGGCAGAATCCAGGCTAGCAGACAGAAACGAGCTCTGAAGAGCTGTAGAAGGCAAGGGACTTTTAGGCAGAAGGGAGCAGGAACAGGGAAGTTATGTTAGGCAAAAAGGCAGCTTGGTTATTACAAGGTCACCTTCCTTTGGGGGATGGCTGGGGTCTATCAGGCAGATGACCTGACTAGTGCTGAGCAGATTCCTGGTGGATGGGTTTAGGATTCTATTTCTGAGAGAGCTTAAACTGTCACTGAGTGAAGTCTTGCCTTGGTGACAACGTGGTGCTTAGCATAAGCAGCTGTTTGGGGACTGCTGCCTTGTTTTTAACAGGAAGAGAGCTGTCTCCACTCAACACCCAGAGAAGAATCAGATCCGTCCTCCTCACTGTCCCATGTGCTTCTCACCTGGGCTCTAACATCCTCTGTGTGCCTCCTCGTCTAGGCTTCGACCACCACCAAATACAACACAGCAGCGACAGTGGACACAGCGAGAGGAGCCCCAGCAGGAGCAGCCGCACAGGAAGCGCTCTGACCTTGAGGCCCTGGAGGTCACCATGAAATGGGCTTCGATTATACCCAGTGAGCCCTTTTGCACATGAGAATCGTATACCAACTCTGCCTGCAGCTCCCTGGACCCCGAGGCTCCCCCAGTTTCTCACCAGAGACTGCAGGGACCGTGGTGTTCAGCCCGCAGTGTCCCACGTGGCAGGTGAACCTCTGCTCCTCTCCAGGGAGGACCCGAGTGGCCACCCAGGTCTGGTAGGTCCCGTCCCCACTGGGCAGGATGGCCCCAGGCCCAAAGGTGCCGTGGTACATGGGCTCCCCATCCTGAAGCCAGGTCAGGGTGGCACTCCGAGGATAGAAGCTGAAAGCCCAGCACCTCAGGATGACCTTGCCCAGCATGTTCTTACTGCGGGTCACAGTCACTGACGGGTGTTCTGGGGGGAGACAAAGCAGAGTTCAGTGACGCCAAGGAGGCTCCCTCCTTACACTGCAGGGAAACCAAGAGCAAGAACCAGCCAGTCCTTAGCAATGACCCGTGCACATTCACCCCCAGCCACCCCTCCAGGGGGGCTACGTCCCCAGTGGAGAGAGGACTGTGGGAGGTCCCCACGCTGCTCCAACAGCCCCAGGACCCTCCAACGGTGTCAGGCTCTGGCCCACCTGGAGAGCCTTAGAGGAGAGGAACTCCCTGCTCTCAGAGGCCATTGGATCAACCTGAGGATGCTCAGCACACGGTTCAGAAGAATTTGTAGGCGCTGATGGGACAGAGGGGCTGCTCTGCTCTAGAGGGAGTGAGAATCCGGCCTCAGTAATGAACCTCCTTCCTCCCCAACAAAATCAGCTCCACGTGCTCCAGGGGGCAATGGAGGGACTGTCCACAAGGATGGCCAGCTGGCCCTGAAGTCTGATTCTTTCATCCTGGGCCTTACATTCCTCTGGTGACCTCTGGTTGATTATAGGTATTTTCATACCCACCCCATCCCACAAAACACAGACACACACCAGTATCTACCCTTTCTTTTCATTTTCTGTCACAGATGTAAATGAAGACGAAACTTCAAACTGGACTTTGCTAAAAGTGAAAGCAGAACAAAAGTGGAATGACCCTGGTAATAGCATTCCGGGTGGTTTGAGTTTGAATATGTGACACTTGCTCCAGAGCTGGAATTTTCTGTTCTGCCTTGGCTCCCAGCCAGGTTGGCCCCATCCTAGGGTCTCCACTGAGGAGTTAAAACCTAGATGTCTCCCCCTCTCAAAGTCAACATCCCAGAGAATGAGGAGAAAAAAGGAGGGAAAAGGTGTCCCTCTCCTGCCTGCTTGGGACTCTCCCACATCCTGGGACTCTCCACTTCTCCAGCTGATGGACCAGCAATGGCCCCAGAGGAGACCCCTCACCTACCCACATGGGTGTGCCTCTCTGACAATTCAGTCACAACTCAGCACCTAACCTAAGGCCAGGGCAGGACAGCCACTCAGAGAACAAGAGGAAAGCTCTCTTCCTTGTAGAAACCAGGGGCAGACTCAGTGGGTGGATCCTCCCGCCCAGGTCAGTACCTGTATTGTCCAGGAGGCCCCTCCAGGAGGCCAGGTATCTCCAGAGTTGGGCAGGACAAGTCACACATAGGAAAATCTTAACCAGATCAGCCCTGGGGCCTTGGGTCTCCCAGAGCTTCTTGATATGCTGGTCTGAGGGTTTGGCCACCATCCATGGGAGGGTCTCCGAGTTGAAGGTGAGGGAGTCCTGGTCCTGCCCGTTGTAGCCCAAGCGCCAGGAGCCTCTAGTGCTGTCTCCATGGAGCTCACAGCTCAATGTAGCCTGGAGGGAGTGAAGGCCTGGCCCACCCCAGGCAGTGACCTGTCACCTCACTGTCGCTGAACCTCTACACCCAACAGGACTTCAACCCAGAGAGGTATGTCGTCTCCTCCACCCACATCTGAGGAACCTGGTGCAGCATCAGGGGGAGCCTCACCTCTCTGTGCAATTCCAGCCTTGCTGTGCCCTCCCCTCCCCCAGCTGCAGGATAAACAGGGCAGGGACCAGACTCTGACCTACGTGCCCCTGGCCCTGCCCCCATTCACCTGAGGCCTGGGCCTGCTGGCCCATGATCTCTGTCAGCATCTGTCTGAGCTGCCGCTCCTTCTCCTTCAGGTTCTTGGTCTCTCTCTCCCAGGTCTCAGCTCCCAGGTCCATCTTGATCCCTAGACCCCAGGGCTCTGCCCTCTGGCTCTCGCCATCATAGCGCAGGAAGAGCTCATCATCAAAGTACCCCAGGGCCAGGAACTGGGGCTTCCCAGGCCTGTCCAGGGACAGGGCCATGAGGTCGTAGCGGAGAGTGTGGGTTCCTGAGGGAGGAGGACACGTGGGTGATTCGCCCTGCCAAGTTCAAGGTTTCTAACAGCTACCTCTGTCTAGTGTTATTTATTTATTTATTTACTTATTTACTTATTTTTTTATTTTATTATTTCTTTTGTGAGGAAGATCAGCCCTGACCTAACATCCATGCCAATCCTCCTCTTTATTTGTGTCCATCTTCCTCCACTTTATTTAGGACACCGCCACACCATGGCCTGACAGACGGTGCATGGGTGCGCGCCCAGAATCCAAACCCGGGCCATCAGCAGCGGAATGCGTGCACTTAACCGCTATGCCACGGGCTGCCCCTGTCTTGAGTTATTTAAATCAGGCTGCTCTGCCGTCAGAATGGCTATAATTAACAAGACAGGAAACAACATGTGTTGGAGAGGATGTGGAGAAAAGGGAACTCTCATACACTGCTGGTGGGAGTGCAAACTGGTGCAGCCACTATGGAAAACAGTATGGAGATTCCTCAAAAAATCAAGGATAGAACTACCATATGATCCAGCTATTCCACTCTTGGGTATTTATCCAAAGAACATGAAAACACCAATTTGCAAAGGTACATGCACCCCTGTGTTCATTGCAGCATTATTCACAATAGCCAAGACTTGGAAGCAACCTAAGTGCCCATCAAGGGACGAATGGATAAAGAAGATGTGGTATATATGCACAATGGAATACTGCTCAGCCATAAGAAACGATGAAATCCAGCCATTTGTGACAACATGGATGGACTGAGGGTATAATGCAAAGTGAAATAAGTCAGAGGGAGAAGGTCAAATACCGTATGATTTCCTTCATTAAGTAGTAGATAATAACAATAAACAAACACATAGGGACAGAGATTGGATTGGTGGTTACCAGAGGGGAAGGGGGGAGGGAGGAGGGTGAAAGGGATAATTCGGTACATGTGTGTGGTGATGGGTTGTAATTAGTATTTTGGTGGTGAACATGATGTAGTGCATGCAGAAATAGAAGTACAATGATGTACACCTGAAATTTTTACAATGTTATAAACCAATGTTACTGCAATAAACAAAAAATTAAAAAAAAATTAATTAAATTAATAAATAAATAAATAGATAAATCAGGCTGCTCTGTCTTGACCCAACCCAGAGGTGAGTGCAAGGAACCAAGCAGAGTGCTTTGTGATGGACAGCACGAGAGGAAGAGAGGGTCAGGAAAAATATTAGAGAAGTGTTAAGAGGTGGAAGAGAAAGCAGATGTATATCGGGGCACAGAGACAGAAGCAGACACCCCTGAGATATCACAGCTGCACAGGGCTGGAGACTGGGAGCCTCCGAAAGGCAGGACTGAAATCTCCCACGGTCTTTCAGGACTGAGAAGAGAAGAACTGCCAGGCTCTCAGCTGAAACCTGTGAAGGTCACAGTGCCGTTTACGGAATCCTACTAGAACTGTGACCCTGTGCTGACCCAGGTCGATCCTGATTGAACTGAGGTGATAAGGCCCTTGTATCTGCTGAAGCGAGGGAAAGAATAAACCTTTCCTGGGCGGCAAATAACATCAACTGAAGCCAAGACGGGTGTAATGTAGGTAACGGCCAGGATTCAATGTGAATTTGTTGACCTTCAAAGAGGCAGGAATACGAGACTGGTAATCAAGAAATGAAGAGGATCCCAGAGAATCGGAGCCAACCTGCAAATGATCCAGATGTTGCTATTACCAGAAAAAAATTTAATATTAATATGTTTAAGAAAATAGAAGAAAATGGGCAAAATATTTGAAAGGAAAGAGGATTTCACCAGAAAACGGAAATGTATAAAAATAAAATGGGAATTCTAGAAATGAAATAAACAGTGTCTGAAGTTTTGAACTCACTGGATGGGATCTGCAGCAGATTAGACAGAGAAAAAACAGGATTAGTGAGCTGGAGGATGGGAAAATGGAAAATACAAAAACAGAAGCTTAGAGAAGTATGAATGGAGACAAAGGGAAAGCTAAGCATAAGTGACATGTGTGACCCTCTCATCTGTATCACTGGAGTTTCAGGAGAGAAGAGAGAAAATGCAACACTGGCATTATTCACAGAGATAACAGCCAAGAATTGTCCAGAACAGATGAAAGACCACAAGACCAGCTTCAGGAAGCTCTCAGCTTTAAGCAGGATAAACAGAAACAAAGCCACCTGAGAACATCAGGGCCAAAATATTGACCAGCCAAGACAGACAGAAACATTGCAAATAAAAGCACCCAGAGATAATAAGACATATTACTTTTAGGGAGCATTTTATAAGACTGTTAAAGCTGACTTCTCAACAGAAATAATGGAAAGCAGAACACAATGAAAGGACATCTTCCAAGTGCTGAAATAAAATCATCACAAAGTTACAAATCTATAGCCAGGAAAAATACTATACTGGAAGGAAGTCAAAACAAAAACGGTTTAAGAAAAAAAAATGTGCACAGTCGCTGCTATCAGGTCTGCACTAAAGGAAAAGCCAAGGGGAGCTCTTCAGTCAGAGGAGATATTATCCCAGAATAAAGGAAGCCAACCCAGGCAGGAACCCCAAAGACCAACTATGTGAGTAGATGCGATAAATATTGAAGGAACAGAACCATCATTTTCATGTTCTGTGGAATTTAAAGTACATGTACAACTAAAATTTATGACAACAATAATGTGAGAGTTTGGGCCGGTGGGAAATGGAGTTTAAAGGTCTAGCAATATCTGGGAATTGTTAAAAATCATAATTAGTACTTGACTACAATACTAATACATATTATAATCTCTAGAATGACCACTGTGAGAAGAGTAAGAGATGTACAATTAACAAATTAATAGAAGAAAAAAATGGAGTATTGAAAAAGCTAGACATCCAAAAGAAGGAAAGAAAAGGAGAAAAAAAGAACAAATAGATTGGCTAAATAGAAGATATAGAGTGAGATAGTAGATATAAAGCCAAACATAATGGTAATTACATTAATGTGAGAGGACTAAAAACCTCATGTAAATAATAAGGTTATCAGATACAGTTAAAAGAAAAAATCACAAAATCAAATTATGTTGCTTATAAGAGTCACACAAAGTCATCGGAAGACTGAAATGGAAAGGATGGAAAAATGATATAAATGTAAGCTCTAAACAGAAGAAGGCTGGCATCACTCCACTAACATCAGAGCAGATTTTAAGACAAAAAGCACTATTAGAGTAAAGAGAGGCCCATGCAACGGGAGATTTCACCATCATAAATCTGCATGTTTCCAACTATTTAGCTTTAGAATATATAAAGCAAAAATTAGCAAAACTAAAAGGAGAGACAGATCCAAAACACTTCGAGAGATGTTAACACCTCTCTCACAATAACCAGAGAACAAGCACACATAAAATCCATAAGGTACACACGGTCTCTGCAAAACACTTCGAGAGATGTTAACACCTCTCTCACAATAACCAGAGAACAAGCACACACAAAATCCATAAGGTACACAGTCTGAACAACAGAATTAACTTGACACTGTTGACCCATATGGAACAGATGACATTTCTATGTGCACAGGGACCATTTGCCAAAATCATCCACACCCTGAAACATGAAGAAAGATTCAACAAGTGTCAGAGGATTGAAACATTTCAGAATATGTTATCTGATCACTGTGGTGATAAGCTAGAAATCAATTAAAAAAAAAGATATCGAGAAAACCCCCAATTGCTTGGAAATTAAACCACACACTTGATATAATCCATGGGCCAAAGAAGAAATCATAAGGGAAATTACAAAATATTTTGAACTGAGTGAGAACAAAAACAATACATATTGCACCTTGGGAGTGCAGCTGAAGTAGTGACTGGAGAACAATTAACAGCCTTAAATGCATATATTGGAAAAAAGGAAAGACTAAATAGTGAACCCTCTCAGCTTCCAGCTCAAGACATTAGAAAAAGAACATAAAATACATAACAGGGCCGGCCCTGGGGCTTAGCGGTTAAGTGTGAGCGCTCCGCTACTGGCGGCCCGGGGTTCAGATCCCGGGTGCGCACCGACGCACCGCTTCTGTGGCCATGCTGAGGCCGTGTCTCACATACAACAACTAGAAGGATGTGTAGCTATGACATACAACTATCTACTGGGGCTTTGGGGAGAAAAAGGGAAAAAAAAAAGGATGAGGATTGGCAATAGTTGTTAGCTCAGGGTCGGTCTTCCTCAGTAAAAGAGGAGGATTGGCATGGATGTTAGCTCAGGGCTGATCTTCCTCATAAATAAATAAATAAATAAATAAAATACGTAACAAAACTCAAAACATATAATAAAGATAAAAGGAGAAATCAGTGAAGTAGAAAATTACATACACTAAAAAGGGACAAATTTCTTAAAAAAAAAATTCATCTTACCAAAGCTCATATAAGAAGAAAAAGTCAATAGTCCCTTAAATATTAAGAAATTAAGGCCATGATTAAATATTTACCAGGCAAGAAAACTGCAGGCCCAGATGGCTTCATTGGTTAATTGTAACAAATGTTTAAGATTAAAACAATAGTCTTATACAAACTGTAGCAGAAGATGGAACATAGGAGAGTGTCACCAGCTAGGCCTCTAGAAACTCAAAGGTGGGTTTGGTAGCAATTAACTGTTTTTCCAAGTTGTTTCTTTTCCTTTTTTCTTTTTTTGTGAGGAAGATTAGCCCAGAGATAACATCCACTGCCAATCCTCCTCTTTTTGCTGAGGAAGTCTGGGCTAACATCCGTGCCCATCTTCCTCTACTTCATATGAGATGCCGCCGCAGCACGGCTTGACAAGTGGTGGGTCGCTGTGTGCCCGGGATGGGATCCGAACCTGTGAACCCCAGGACATGAAGCGGAGCATGCGCACTTAACCGCTGCACCACTGGCTGGCCCCTAGCCATATTTTTAATGCAAAGATCTCTCCAGGAGCAGCTTAGGCCTCAATATGTGGAAGCATGTTCTCCAGCTGAGCCTGTGCAAGTGAATACCTGCCACTCCCTTTTGAAAGTTCATTCCCCAACCAAAATAAAAGTTCCTGCTTCCCTTTGTTCAGAGATGCCATAACTTTGGAAATTATTCCCCATGGCCTCCTATTTGCTGGAGATACACTTCACCTTGTGAGACAACTTCCACTGGCCTAGAGTCTTATTTAACTCACCAGGAGGCAAGCCCACTGGGTTCAGTAAGAAGAGTACCCCAGATATGCTTCATGAGGCCAGCACAAATCTGATGCCCCCCAAGACCCTCACCTGCCTCCCTGCCGTCCGCCTCACCAGAGCTTTACCGTCACCAGCAGCCCCTCAGACACCCGCCCCCTTCTGAGGACCCCAGATACTCACCATCCACCACCATGGCTCCCAAACACCAGCTGCCCTGCTGATCTTCCCCCTTCACGAGGAGGACACACACACTGCCATCCCCTTCCATGGCCGCCCACATGCTCCTTGCTACTTCCCTCACTCACTGCTAGTTTCATCGCAGCCCTACTCCCACACTTCCTGTCCCAACATGGCCTCCTCCAGACCCTCACCTGCCTCCCTGCCATCCCCAGAGACCTTCACTGTCCCCCACCACAGCCCCCAGGTACTCACCTGGCTCCCTGTGGACACCCCATCCAGACATCACCCCCCCACATGGAATGCCTCAGACATTCACTGCCCTCCTCTCCACGTGTCTCTGGGGAACCCTCACCGTCCTCCGGGCCCGAGCCTCCAGGTCCTACAAACACTCACGACCTCCTCCCGGGCCCCAGACAGTCACACGCAGCTGCAGACCCTCAGTCCCAGGAAACACAGCGCCCGCAACACCACGTGTGGACCCGCCAAACCCTCTCCATATCCCCTGTCCCTGCCAGTGTGCCCCTCAATCTTGCCCCTTTTGGTAGAGCCCCCTGCAAGCGCGCCCTGCGCAAGTCCTAACGTCCCCTCTCCTCCCGCCAGCCCCACACGAAGCCCGGTCCCCGATCCGCACCCAGACTCACCCCATCCCCCACCGCCGCCCAGGCGCTCACCAGGGGGGAACCCCCGCGACTCCTCCAGCAGCAGCAACAGGAGCAGCAGGTGGCTCAGGGCTCTGGGGTCCCCGGGGGGCACTATCCCCATTCCTGTAGACGTCTGGGTGAGCAATTTGAAAGCAATTCGTTTTCAGCATCCGCTTTCGTTTTCGATCTTGTTAAAGACTAACGGCCAGCCGACCTTACTCTGATTGGGTGCATGGTGAGCCCCCAGTGCCGCCCAAGACCCATCTCGTCATCAGCTTGTTACCGCCCAATGTGGGGTCTTCTGCTTCCTGCAAGACGTGCCAATAGTCAAGAGGAATAGTGGTAGGAGAAAAAGGACTTTTATTACAGCTTGCTAGCAAGAGGGAAGGTGGCCAACTCATGTCCAAAAAAACCATGTTAAGGGGGCACAAAATCTTACAGCAGTTATATAGGCCATTGGGTTATTGGGGAGGGGTTTAGGAATGTTGACCTTCTGGCGTTACAGACTGGGAGTACCATATCAGATCTTTCAGTTTTCACTGATGATGGCTATCAGCATAGATTCTCTGTTCCGGGGTCATCACTTTCCTAAAGAACTCAAAAAAGCAAGTTATCTCATAGCAGCTGGGAGGTACATGCACAAGCAGGGGTCGTAAAATCTACAAAGCAGTTAGACCTCTGCTTTTTTAATGACCTTTGTCAGCGGTCATTCAAAGTTAAAATAGAGTTTTTCTTTTCTAAAGTATGGCTTCCCTTATGTCAACCTTGTCTTGATCTGGTATCAAGCTCTGCCTAAGACCCCAAGTATATGACTCAAGGGTCCCAGATTCCCTCTGGCTGAGTAGGTGGAGGAGCTGAAGACTGTCTGGTACTGGGTGTTCAGGGTCTCTGTCTGAGTCCCTGCCCTGTCTGTCCAGCTGTGGCTGCCCCTGCTGAGGAGAGACCCCATCCCACAACAGGGTGGGGTCTGCTGTGTGTGGAGCTCAGAAGCCCCTTCTCCACAAGCTGAGTTAAAGTAAAAAAGTAAAACAAGCTCATAAATCCTTGTGACCCTTGAGTCACCCCTCGGGTTAAACAAGAAAACAGAAAATTGACAAGATTAACCTCTTTTCATAACAAGGTGGAAAGGTAATCTTACTGAGTATTTACAGTAACCCACAGGTAACTGGCTTCAATCCCCATTGTCTTTTTTCCTTTCCTCATTCTTGTAGGAAGGGAGGTGTCAATCATTCTGGCTACTTCCTGCTGAAAGGGGGTGAAGATGGGGAAACTGAGGAATGAAAATTTTCAACCTTAGATTGAAAACACTTGGGCACTGGATTATATTTTGCATTATTAAAATTTTTGCACCATGTTCAACAGTTTTAGTACAACATTTGAAAGCACATTTTATCATCATATATCAAATCAGAAGAATAAGAACTGTAGACAACTCAAATTTTAATAGTCCCTGAAGAATAGATCTAATCCCTTGTGGAATCCAAGAGAACAGTCCTGAAAACCAGTCTAGACAATATAAACAAGAATTATCAAGGGGTCCTCATGGTCATGCACTGAATAAGATTTAGGATGACATATCCAACTTCTAGAAAGATTACTTGCCTTTGCCAACATCTGAGAAATTCTAATAATCCAATTGTCTTTCTAGGCTTGGAAGTCAAAGTCAACGAGGAAGCATAATAGCCAGTTACAGATAGAAAACAGAAATCTCAAAGACAATTTACAGAACTAGAATCTAATATCCACAAGTGTGTATTATAGTTTCTACTGAAACCTAATTTTTCTCTTTGAAATCACCCTCTTTATTTTTTTTTTTTTTACCAAAGATAGCCAAATTAAGACTAATTGGTTGGCTTGGCCCAATTATTTACATAAGTACAGCAAGAATAGCAAGTGATCATATAGATTCTTTTGAATCTACTTTGCTGTAACTTTTTATAAGGAATCTCAGAAAAAACTTTAGAGGCTTCTCAAGGCCAGGAAAGCCAATCCAAAGATTTGTTATCAGACTCCCTCTGCAAAACCCATAGATTTGAGTGATTTCCTCTCTTCTCTTGAGATTCCCCAAAATATCCCGAAGTTCTTTGCACCTACCAGGGAAGTGACCTTCTTTACTCACCTCGTAAGGTTGCTGGGAACACTGTAAGCAAGATACCAGGCCAGTCTTTCCAAGGGGCTTTATTTCATTAACTCAATCTTTCTCCCTTAGCCATCTGGTCAAATCAGAGTCTATGCATGTTTCTCTCAAATGTGACATTCCAGTCAAACATTGGTAATATTACCAATGTTTCCAATTGCATCCCATTACAAGGAGAACAGATTCTTATTGAACTTATGCAAATGACTATATTGCCATGAGAATAAGAATATTCACTCACTAAGTGTTTCTAAATTCGGGAGGGATCAGGTAGGGAGATAAAGATAAAAGTTTCAATTCTGCTTACAAAGATATAATTTACAAACTGGTATAAGCCATAGTTAGCTTAAGAGAAAAGAGAAAAAGGTTTTCTTAAATCTGAAAAAACAAAACATTAAAAAATTGGCAATATTTCAAATGAAAGTCATAAAAATTATAGTCATTGTCATCAGTTCAGTTAGTCCCATAACTATCATTGTTAGCAGTTTCATGAAGTCCTCAGTTTCTCCATTAGAGTTCTGTAATTTCTCACTCAGTTCAGTTTTATGATCTGAAAGTTCATCAGAAACTTGTATTCTAGAGTAAGTGTCAGAGTCCTTTCCATGAATCTCTCTGAAAATGAGGACATGCCTATTTCAATCAAACCAACAAACTTAAACTTTAATTTGCCAAAGCTCACTTACTTTAAACAGTTAAATAGAGCTCTTAATGTTCCCTATAATCAGCAGGTAGAAAAACATCTCACACTGTATGGGCTCGGGCAACCCTATTGACTTCCTTTAGTACGTTTAATTAACATTGTCTGAAGGGCAGATTTATATGCTGTTTTACAATATCAATACTGGGGGAATGTTTCCCCCAGTGAGACACAATGTCTATCCCCACAATACAATTTATAATACAATCATGCCAAAGAGCTGTAATCACTCAATTCCACCAACTCTTACACCTCCAATCATAGCTTTCATTAGGACTTCATCCACAAGTCTTATCACATTAGGTAGGGGAGGCATTCCCATCCAGATACAATGTCAATTTTGGAAACACACTCAAGCAAAGTTGATATAAACTCTTTATATAAAATTATCTCAAACATTCCAACCTTTATAATCTTATCAATACTTATACATTTACATTTTTTCAATTTAATTGCAGCCTGAGTCAGAAACTTAAGGCTAGTCATTATTTTTTATTTTTGTATTTCCATTTTAATTTTGTCTTTTCATAGGTACCAATAAAACAATTATGATGAGAGCTCTCTAAAAATTTATCCAATTTAGAGGTTTTTCCAATTTAAGGATTCATGATCTGGCAGTTTTCTCCAGAGTCTTAAGAACATTGTGGCCATGTGATGTTATAACAGAATATGACCTTTTTCCTTTTCATGGGCTTGTAGCTAAAAGTCTCCAAATTTTGGAAAATGTAACCCAGGGGGCTAGAGGTAGGGGTCAATTTAGTGTTCCTCATAGCTGACTTGCACACAAGACCAATGCACCCACACAAAGATAAAATCCAACACCTGACAAAGGCAAAATCAAAAGTAGACCCAAGTCCAATGCATTTCTCCACTCCATGTAAGCATTTCGCTGAGGCTGGCTGACACCAGCAGGAAGAATGGAGCAGCAGGGGAAGGCCCCTGGGCAAAGAAGCCCGGGCAGCTGCTGGGGGCCACTGATCACTCAAACCCTCACCAGGAGGCCAGCCAGCCACAGGCATGAGACTCCTGGTGGCTCACCAAAATTAATACCGAACCTCTTAATCTCAAGTTTGTGTGCCTGATGTGCAGTCAGCCAATCACTGAGAAATCAGTGCTTGGAGGTGGGGAAAGGTTTATTCGAATTGGCCAAAACAAAAAGGTGGGAGGATAAGTTCTCTCAAAGCTGCCTTAACAAGAGAAGAAAGCAGGGGGTTTTATAGAGTTAAGGGGCTTGGGAGGTGGCGTTTCAGAGAAACAAAGGGGTCACTCCTGATGAACCCCTGGGAAATCTGACTTTTGGACAGCAACGGCAGCTGGGGGCTGGTTATCTGGTGATGATAACTTCCTTGAAGGCATTCTCCTTCATCTGTAAAACAAGCTCATAAATCCTTGGGACCCTTGAGTTACCCCTCAGGTTAAACAAGAAAACAGCAAATTGACAAGATTAACTTCTTCTCATAACAAGGTGGAAAGGTAATCATATTAAATATTTACAGTAACCCTCAGGTACCCTCTCCATCTTTTTTTGGTTTGTTTGTTTCCTGACAGTTTATTTGGTGAAGGAATAAGGTAGTTTGTCCTGTAATTTTCCACAAAGACTGTGCCTTCACCAAGGACCTGTCCACCATGTGGTTGAATTTGATTCTCTGTTTCCAGTCAATTGCCTCCTGTTTCCAGTAAGTCGATGATGGAGTGACATCAAGGGTCTTTCCACCAGGAAGTGCACAACATCAAGCTGTCTCTCCAGTGGCCAGGCTGGCAGCCGTGGATGGTTACGGCTGAGATCCATTCATTCATTAGGCTCACAAAGTGGTAATAATGTCACTCTGCCTTTGCTTTTCTATCTTTCTTATTTGGACTACTTCTGTACAAAAAAACCCTCTCTTTCTCAACTAAGTGAATGTCTTCAGGTCCAGTTCTTATGTGAATTGGAAAGGCAGGATAAATGGTTGGGTCTTTATCTTTTTTGTTTTTCAGCCAGTTTTTGTAATACATACCTCATCTCCCTCATCCTGGAAGCAGGAAGATGGCTTGTCTATTCTTTTCCTGTTCCTGGGTAAGAAATGTTAAAAAACAAAATTCAACTGAGTAAATTTTAAAGATCTTACTGGCTTCATTCAAAGATTCATCAACCGGGCAGTATCCTGTCTAGCATATAGAAAGGATCTCCGAAGAGCTGTCCAAGGCAAGAGATTTTTAGGCATAAGGCAGCAGGAACAGGGAAGTTACGTTAGGCAAAAAGGCAGCTTGGTTATTGCAAGCTCACCTTCCTTTAGGTGATGGCTGGGGTCTATCAGGCAGATGACCTGACTAGTGCTGAGCAGATTCTTTGAGGGGTTTAAGATTCCATGTCTGTGAGAGCTTAAACTGTCACTGAGTGAAATCTTGCTTTGGTGATGACGTGGGACTTAGCATAAGTGACTCCGTTTAGGGCCTGTTGCCTTGTTTTTAGCAGGAAGACAGCTGTCTCCACTCACCACCCAGAGAAGAATCAGATCCATCCTCCTCACTGTCCCAGGTGCTTCTCATCTGGGCTCTCACATCCTCCGTGTGCTTCCTCGTCTAGGCTTCCACCACCACCAAACACAACACAGCAGCGACAGCGGACACAGCGAGAGGAGCCACAACAGGAGCAGTCGCACAGGAAGCCATCTGACCTTCAGTTCCTGGAGGTCACCATGAAATGGGCTTCGATTATACCCAATGGGCCCTTCTTCACATGAGGATCCTATACCAACTCTGCCTCCAGCTCCCTGGACCCTGAGGGCTCCCCCAGCTCCTCACCAGAGACTGCAGAGACCGGGTCTTCAGCCTGCAGTGTCCCACGTGGCAGGCGAACCTCTGCTCCTCTCCAGGGAGGACCTGAGTGGCCACCCAGGTCTGGTAGGTCCCATCCCCACTGGGCAGGCTGACCCCAGGCCCAAAGGTGCCATGGTGCGTGGGCTCCCCATCCCGAAGCCAGGTCAGGGTGGCACCCCGAGGATAGAAGCTAAAAGCCCAGCACCTCAGGAGGACCTTGCCAACGAGGTCCTTACTGCGGATCACAGTCACTGATGGGGGATCTGGGGGGAGACAAAGCAGAGTTCAGTGAGGCCAAGGACGCTCCCTCCTTACACGGCAAGGAAACCAAGAGCAGGAACTAGCCAGCCCTTAGAAATGACCCGGGAACATTCACCCCCAGCCACACCTCCAGGGGGGCTACGTCCCCAGTGGAGAGAGGAATGTGGGAGGCCCCCCACACTGCTCCAACAGCCCCAGGACCCTCCGAAGGGGTCCGACCCTCGCCCACCTGAAGAGCCTGAGAGGACACGAACTCCCTGCTCTTAGGGTCCAGCGGATCCACCTGAGGATGCTCAGCAGACGGTTTTGAAGAATTTGTAGGCACGGATGGGACAGAGAAGCTGCTCTGCTCTACAGGGAGTGAGAATCCGGCCTCGGTGATGCACCTCCTTCCTTCCCAACAGAATCGGTTCCTCATGCTCCGGGGTGATGGAGGGACTGTCCACAAGGATGGCCAGCTGGCCCTGCAGCCGGATTCTTTAGTAGTGGGCCTCACTTTCCTCTGGAGACCTCTGTTTAATTATAGGTATTTTCATCCACCCCCACCCCCACCCACACACACACAGTATCTACTCTTTCTTTTTATTTTATGTCACAAGACTTTGATGAGGGGGAAACTTTAATGTGGAATTTTCTAAAAGTGAAAGCAGAACATAAGTGGGATGACCCTGGTAATATGATTCTGGGTGGTTTGACTTTGAACATGTGACCCTTGTTCCAGAGCTGGAATATTTTGTTCTATCTTGGCTTCCAACCAGGTTGGCTTCATCCTAGGGCCTCTGGCAAGGATTTCCAACCTAGATATCTCTCTCCGTCAAGTCAACATCCCAGAGAATGAGGGTCTTGGAGAGAAAAGGTTTCCCTCTCCTGCCTGCCTGGGGCCTGAGGTCTGAGATCTGAGCCCACATTCGAGGGCACTCCACTTCTCCAGCTGATGGACCAGCAATGGGCCCAGAGGAGACACCTCACCTACCCACATGGGTGTGCCTCTCCAACAATACAGTCAGAACTCAGCACCTAACCTAAGGCCAGGACAGGACAGCCACTCAGAGAACAAGAGGAAAGTTCTCTTCCTTGTAGGAACCAGGGGTAGACTCAGTGGGTGGACCCTCCCGCCCAGGTCAGTACCTGTATTCTCCAGGAGGCCCCTCCAGGAGGCCAGGTATCTCCAGAGTTGGGCAGGACAAGTCACACACAGGAAATCCTTAACCAGATCAGCCCGGGGGCCTTGGGTCTCCCAGAGCTTCTTGATGTGCTGGGCTGAGGGCATGGCCAAGGTCCAAGTGAGGGTCTGTGAGTCGAAGGTGAGGAAGTCCTGCCCTTTGTAGTCCAAGCGCCAGAAGCCTCTAGTGCTGTCTCCCTGGAGCTCACAGCCCAATGTGGCCTGGAGGGAGTGAAGGCCTGGCACAGCCCAGGCAGTGACCTGTCACCTCATTGTGCCTGAACCTCTCGACCCAACAGGACTCCTGCCCAGAGGGGTATGTCCTCTCCTCCACCCAAATGTGAGGGACCTGGTGCAGTCTCCGTGCGGCCTCACCTCTCTGTGCAATTCCAGCCTTGCTGTGCCCTCCCCTCCCCGAACTGTAAGATAAACAGGGAAGGGAACAGACTCGGACACATGTGCCCCTGGCCCTGCCCCCACTCACCTGGGCCCTGGCCCTCCTGGCCCGTGATGTCTGCCAGCATCTGTCTGAGTTGCCGCTCCTTCTCCTTCAGGTCCTCAGTCTCTCTCTCCCAGGTCTCAGCTCCCAGGTCCATCTTGATCCCTAGACCCGGGAGCTCTGCCCTGTGGCTCTCGCCATCATAGCGCAAGAAGAGCTCATCATCAAAGTACCCCAGGGCCAGGAACTGGGGCTTCCCAGGCCTGTCCAGGGACAGGGCCATGAGGTCGTAGCGGAGAGTGTGGGTTCCTGAGGGAGGAGGACACGTGGGTGATTCACATGGCCAAGTTCCATGTTTCTAACACTGCCTCTGTCTTGAGTTACTTGAATCAGGCTATTGTGTCCTGACCCATCCCAGAGGGGAGTGCAAGGAACCAAGCAGAGTGTTTTGTGATGGACAGGACGAGAGGAAGAGAGGGTCCGGCAAAAAGATTAGGGTGGAAAGAGATTAGAGAGGCGTTGAGACGTGGAAGAGAAAGCAGGAGTATATTTGGGCAGAGAGAGAAGCAGAAATGACTGAGATCACAGCTGCACAGGGCAGGAGACTGGGAGCCTCCGACAGGCAGAACGGAAATCTCCCACGGTCTTCTACACCCAGAAGAGAAGAACTGCCAGGCTCTCAGCTGAAACCTGTGAAGCCCACAGCACAGATTACGGAATCCTACTAGAACTGTGACCTTGTGCTGACCCAGGTTGGTCCTGACTGAATTGAGGTGATAAGCCCCTTGTATCTGCTGAAGTGAGGGAAAGAATAAACCTTTCCTGGGTGGCAAATAACATCAACTGAAGCCAAGACGGGTGTAATGTAGGTAACGGCCAGGATTCAACGTGAATTTGTTGACCTCTAAAGAGTCAGGAATACAATACTGGTAATCAAGAAATGGAGAAGATCCCAGAGAATTGGAGCCGACCTGCAACGATCCCAATGTTGGCATTAGTAGAAAAACAATTTACTATTAATATGTTTAAGAAAATATAAGAAAATGCACATAATATTTGGAAGTAAAGAGTATTTCACCAGAGAACTGAAATATATGAAAATAAAATGGGAATTCTAGAAATGAAATACACAATATCTGAAGTTGTGAACTCATTGGATGGGATCTGCAGCAGATTACACAGAGAAAAACAGGATTAGTGAGCTGGAGGATGGGAAAATGGAATATACAAAAACAGAAGCAAAGAGAAATATGAGCTAAGCATAAGTGACATGTGTGACCCTCTCATCTGTATCACTGGAGTTTCAGGAGAGAAGAGAGAAAATGCAACACTGGCATTATTCAAAGAGATAATAGCCAAGAATTGTCCAGAACAGATGAAAGGTAAACACCAGGTTCAGGAAGCTCTCAGCTTTAAGCAGGATAAACAGAAACAAAGCCACCGGAGAACATCATGGCCAAAATATTGACCAGCCAAGACAGACAGAAACATTGCAAATAAAAACACCTACAGAAAATAAGACATTACTTTTAGGGGGCATTTTATAAGACCATCAGAGTTGACTTCTCAATGGAATTCATGGAAAGCAGAACGCAATGAAACGACATCTTCCAAGTGCTGAAATAAAATCATCGCCACCTTATAAATCTATAGCCAGGAAAAATACTATACTGGAAGGATGTCAAAATAAAGACGGTTTAAGAAAAAAAATGTGCATAGTCGCTGCTATCAGGTTGGCACTAAAGGAAAAGCCAATGGGTGTTCTTCAGGCAGAGGAGATGTTATTCCAGAATGAAAGAAGCAAACACAGGCAGGAAGCCCAAAGACCAACTGTGTGAGTAGATCCAAGGAATACTGAAGGAACAGAACCATCATTTTCATGTTCTGTGGAATTTAAAGTATATGTACAACTAAAGTTTATGACAACAATTTTGTGAGAGTTTGGGCCGGTGGGAAATGGAGTTTAAAGTTCTAGCAATATCTGGGAATTGTTAAAAGTCATAATTAGCACTTGACTACAATACTAATACATATTATAATCTCTAGAATGACCACTGTGAGAAGAGTAAGAGATATACAGTTAACAAATTAATAGAAGGAAAAAAATGGAGTATTGAAAAAGCTAGACATCCAAAAGAAGGAAAGAAAAGGAGATAAAAAGGAACAGATAGATTTGCTAAATAGAAGATATAGAGCGAGATGGTGGGTATAAATCCAAACATAACAGTAATTACATTAATGTGAGTGGACTAAAAACCCCATGCAAAACAATAAGGTTATCAGATTAAAAGGTTAAAAGAAAAAGTTACAAAATCAAATTATGTTTCTTATAAGAGGCACACAAAGACATCGGAAGACTGAAATGGAAATGATGGAAAAATGATATAAATGTCAGCTTTAACAAGAAGAAGGCTGGCATCGCTCTACTAACATCAGAGGAGGTTTTAACACAAAAAGCTCTATTAGAGTAAAGAGAGGCCCATGCAACGGGAGAGTTCACCATCATAAATCTGTATGTTTCCAATTACAAAGCTTCAGAGTACATACAGCAAAATTAGCAAAACTAAAAGGAAAGACAGATCCAAAACACTTCGAGAGATGTTGACAGCTCTCTCACAATAACCAGAGAACAAGCAGACATAAAATCCATAAGGTACACAGTCTGAACCACAGAATTAACCTGACACGGCTGACCCACATGGAACAGATGACATTTCTACGTGCACAGGGAACATTTGCCAAAATCAGCCACACCCTGAAACATGAAGAAAGATTCAACAAGTGTCAGAGGATTGAGACCATTCGGAATATGTTATCTGACCACTGTGGTAATAAGCTAGAAATCAATTTTTAAAAAAGATATCTAGAAAACCCCCAATTGCTTGGAAATTAAACAGCACATTTGATATAGTCCATGGGTCAAAGAAAAAATTGTAAGGGAAATTACAAAATATTTTGAACTGAATGAGAATGAAAACAATACATATCGCACCTTGGGAGTGCAGTTGAAGTAGTGACTGGAGAACAAGTAACAGGCTTAAATGCATATTTTAGAAAAAAAGAAAGACTAAATAGTGAACCCTCTCAGCTTCAATCTCAAGAAATTAGAAAAAGAACATAAAATACATAACAAAAGTCAAAAGATATAATAAAAATAAAAGGAGAAATCAGTGAAGTAGAAAATTATATACAATAAAAATGGACAAATTTCTCAGAAAAAAAAATTCATCTTACCAAAGCTGATATAAGAAGAAAAAGTCAATAGTCCCTTAAATATTAAGAAATTAAGGCCATGATTAAATATTTCCCAGCAAGAAAACTGCAGGCTCAGATGGCTTCATTGGTTAATGCTAACAAACGTATAAGATTAAAACGGTATTATACAAACTGTACTAGAAGATGGAACACGAGAGAGCACCCCAGAGACATTTCATAAGGCCAGCACAAATCTGATGCCCCCTGCGGGTCCACCTCCCCAGACCTTTACCACCCCCATACTGCAGTCCCTCAGACACTCGCCCCCTTCCGAGGACCCCAGATACTCACCATCCCCCACCATGGCTCCCAAATACCAGCTTCCCTGCTGATCACCTTCCCCCTTCACGAGGACCACACACACACACACACACACAGACACACCACACACACACACACTCACCATCCCTCTCAGTAGCCACCCACATGCTCCTTGCTACTTCCCACAGTCACTGCTAGTTTCATCGCAGCCCCCCTCCCACACTTCCCGCCACCACACTGCCTCCTCCAGACCCTCACCTGCCTCCCTGCCATCCCCAGAGACCCTCAGCGTCCCCCACCACGGGCCCCAGGCACTCACCTGGCTCCCTGCGGACACCCCATCCAGACATCGCCCCCCCCCGCGGAGTGCCTGGGACACTAGGACCGCCCCCCTCTCCACGCGTCTGCAGGGAACCCTCACCGTCCTCCCTGCCCGCGCCTCCGGGTCCTACAAACACTCACCGCCTCCTCCCAGGTCCCCACTCACGGACCCCTGCGGACCCTCAGTCCCAGGAAACACGGCGCCGAGACCACCACCCTGCAGACACCCACCGAACCCTCCCCACATCCCCTCTCCCCGCCGCCGGGCGACTCAAACAATCCTGCCCCCTTCGGTAGAGCCCCCTGCAAGCGCGCCCTCTGCAAGTCCTAACGTCCCCTCTCCTCCCGCCAGCCCCACACAAAGCCCGGTCCCCCATCCGCACCCAGACTCCCCCCATCCCCCAGCGCCGCCCAGGCGCTCACCAGGGGGGCACCCCCGCGACTCCTCCCGCAGCTGCGACAGGAGCAGCAGGTGGCTCAGGTCTCTGGGGTCCCCGGGGAAAATCATCCCCATTCCTGTGAGAGTTCTGGGTGAGCAATTTGAAAGCAATTCGTTTTCAGCATCCGCTTTCGTTTTCGATCTTGTTCAAGACTGACGGCCCAGGGGCGGGCCCCGTGGCTTAGCGGTTAAGTGCACGCGCTCCACTGCTGGAGGCCCGGTTCGGATCCCGGGCGCGCACTGACGCACCACTTCTCTGGCCATGCTGAGGCCGCGTCCCACATACAGCAAGTAGAAGGATGTGCAGCTATGACATACAACTATCTACTGGGGCTTTGGGGGAAAAATAAATAAAATAAAATTATTTAAATAAAAAGAAAAAGACTGACTGCCCAGTCCACCCTACTCTGATTGGGTGTATGGCGAGCCCCAGAGGCCCCCAAGACCCCACCTCGACATCAGCTCTGCCCAGGACCCCAAGTCTGTGCCTCAAGGGTCTGAGATTCCCTCTGGCTGAGGAGGCGGAGGGGCTGAAGTCTGTCTGGTCCCGGGTCTTTGGGTGCTCGGGGTCTCTGTACCCCCACCAACGGGCCAGTCTGAGTCCCTGCCCTGTGTCTGCCCAGCTGTGGCTGCCCCTGCTGAGGAGAGACCCCATCCCACAACAGGGTGGGGTCTGCTGTGTGTGGAGCTCAGAAGCCCCTTCCCCACAAGCTGAGTTATGTAACTCCAGTCTCCCTACCCCTACACCTCTCCCCTCAGACTAAGCCCCTCCTCCTCTCCTTTCTCCCCTAGGTAAAGGAAGTGGGAGGGTCTCAGCCCCCTAAGGAGGTCACCAGTCAGGGCTGAGGCTTTTCCTCCAGGGAAGTGAGCCTGGCAGGCAGGCTGTGAGCAGAGGGACTTGCAGTCTCGCCCAGGACAAGATCCTACTGCTGTGAGGAGGGTCTCACCATCACCAGGTCCAGCTGAGGGGCCCTGGGAAAGGGTCTTTGGGAAAAGATCCTGCTGTGAGGGACGGTCTGGGGCCTGGTGGAGGTCAGGGGGTCAGGGAGGAGGCTGCAGAAGGAATGTGGCAGAGATGCTGTTGCTTGGTGAGTGTGTTTGTGTGTGGGGGTGCCCCAGGGGAGGGGATTCTGGGTGGTCTGAAAGAGCTCCAGTAGGAGGGCGCTGTGCAGGTGAGAAGGGAAGGCATCTGGTGCCTGCAAGCCCAGGGAAGCTGACAGTGAGCCTGGAGGGGCCTCCACAGGCCTCAGGCCTCAAGACCAATATGACAGGATCAAGTGGACGCCCCTAATGGCAGACCCCTCCAGGCCCAGAAATCACCCAAGTCCCTCAGGGCCACATTCATGATGATGGGGTGGGAGGAGAGAGACGCATCTCATGTCAGAAGGGGAGGCTGCGACCCTTCCCCAGCAGGGGGACCCCACAGGGCACAGCTGTGCAGAAACATCACATGAGGAGGACACAGGGGTGGGGGAGACAACTGCAAGGGAAAGAGGTTTGCAAAGGACTTCAGGCAGCAATTCTGGGAAGTTATGTGAAGATGCAAACATCCAGTCAGACACACGTGGAAAACAGTGCTTTCATCCATCATCCATGCATCCATCCATCCATCCATCCATCCATCCTTCCATCCATCCATCCATCCATTTATTCACTCAATATTCCCTGAGCATCTGCTTTGTGCTCAGACCTGAGCTAGATGATGCTGGGGACACATGGTGACTTAGGCACAGGCCTTGTCTTTCTGAGTCTTACTCTCCAGTGGAGAACACAGGCCACCCAGACACTGATGACCTAGAGTGAGCAGGGCTAGATGGGATACACAGGGGTCAGAGGTGTCTATCTGCAGGAGGGGACTTGTGAGATGAGATTTTAAGAATGGGAGAGAACTGTAACTATTTCAGGGAGGCTGAGCACTGGGATGGCAGATGGCAGGCAGGGAGAGAGGCCGGCAGGTGCGGTCACCTTGTGGGCCTCCGTGAGGACTGTGGATTTTATCCTCAGTGCACCGGGAGCCACGAATGGGTCATAAGCAGGAGATGGAAGTGGTCATGAGATAGGTAGGTAGGTAGACATGAGCAGAGGATCGTGGCTGGAGACCTTGCTGCATCAGTGAAGCGTCTTGCTGGCATCCAGACATGAGTGGGGGATCATGGCTGGAGACCTTGCTGCATCAGTGAAGCGTCTTGCTGGCATCCTACAAGATGCAGATAAAGGGGAACTGAGACCTGCCTGACACCACCACTGAGTCTGAGGCCATCAACCGTGACGATAAAAATAATGGGTGCGCAAACAGCACACACAAAGGCTTCTGCCGTACACCTCTAGAGGACATGGACTTTTCTTTAATTTACATACAAATTCCATGTGCATTAGCTCCCCTTCTGAGGGGGATGACTGCCATGACAGTTCCAGAGATTCCCCTTGAACATCAAGAACTCCCACTCCCAATGTGTGGGTGGGGGAAAAGCCATTATTGGCAGATAATCACATAATGCTAATTCCCTTCTAAACAGCTCAAATAAAAAAAAAATTAACGCAAGACTCGGGGCTGATGTGCTCTCTGGCAGTGTCAGCTACTCATTTGGAGTGTATCTGACCTTTCCTCTAGTAAATCTTTGCTTGCTTGCTGTTGCTGTTGTGTCAGTGTCTGAATTCCCGTCTTATGCTGACCAAGAACCTGGGCAACCTGACTCTCCAGTCGACTTACAGTCAGATTTGTGGCACGTCCCCATGTCTGTCTGCTGTGAGGAGGGTGGACACGGAGTTGAGACAGGAGACAGGAGACCAAGCAGGAGGCTGCTGCAGCAGAAATAATTGTGCAATTGCCAGTGTCCTAAACGTCTGAGTCTCTCCATGGGGAGTGGGGGCAGCACACGCCCCGCCCAGCCCCATCTCTCTCTGCTCTTTTAGCCTCCTGTCCCTACAGCTGCAGGTAGAGCAGTGGTTTCCAGACCTCTAATAGGTTGTAGAAAAAGTTGAGCAGTCCCTACCTGCTATGGTTTCAAAATTTGAAAGAAAAAACAGATTAGAAAATAGAAGAGTGTGCACTACAGGGAATCTTGTCGATTGTTATTTAAAGAAACTTTCTTTTGGACTGTGTGCAAGCCGCATGATGCTGTGATATCAGTTCTTCCTGGGGAGTGGAAGTCAACAGTTAGTAAGCAGAGGGATGGAGATGGCTCCAGCCCCGGGCTCACCTCCTTTCCTAAGAGCCACTGACTTAAACTACCCATCATGTCATCCAGGAAGGGATCCAGCTGTCATTTCCTTGGTTCCAGGCGTTTCCTGAATAGGCTGCAGGCTGGCTTGGAACCCAGCCTGGTTGTCTGTGCTATGAAGAGAGTGAGGTTGATCCTGGAGCCAGGGTGAGAGAGAGGAGCACAATGCCCAGGGCAGGGCTGGAGTTGGCATCTCTGGGGCAGGAGGAGCCCAGCTGGAGCCTGGAGCCTGGTGTCTCAGGGTGGCTGAGTCAGGCTCTGAGGCAGGAATGTGGAGGGAGACAAGACAGGGCAAGGGGCTCGGAGGCCGTGTTGGAGGGCAGTGGCTGGTCCTGAGATGTGTGGACCCTGAGATCGCTAACTCAACAGCCCTGAGGCCTTGGAGTCAGGCAGCCCTGGTTTCAAATCCTGCCTCTGCCCCTCCTCAAAGTGTCAAAGACGCCCTTACCGATAGCCTTGTTCAACTCTCTGTAACCAAGAGGGAGACACCTTCAGGATGTTTCTCTCTGACAGCTTTCAAGCCACAGGCGCTCCCTTCAGCCTCACTTCCTGGCCAGCTCTGAAAGTCTGCAGGCTCCCTCCCTTCACCCCTACAGGAAGTTCAAACCATAAGAAACAAGACCTGACCCACTCCTAGCCAAAAATAAAAGCCAAAGCTAATGACCCCACTTCCTTCCGGATGAAAACTGAGACTTCTCCTTGGGGAATCCTGTTGTTGTCTTCTGTGTGTGTAATAAACTTTATTTCATGTACATTAGTACATGAAATATAGTTTATTATATATACATTATACATTTAATATACATTCCTGCTTGAGGGGCTGTTCTGCATCCAGCAGGGATCACTAGGCACCACAAACCACCAGCACCACCAGCAAAAATCCTACAGCCAGCTGCCTCTGCTCTGCCCAGTCTCGTTGTCACTGTCGAGGGACCAGTCTGCTGCCTCTACTGCACTTAAAACTCTGTGACACCAAAGACTAGCCCTGCCAGGGCCACAGCCATGTACCCAGGTGTTGGAGACTCTGTCTCCTCCCGACACCAGAGGACACTCACGTTCTCATGGGAAATAAGAGATGTAGAAACCCCATTGGTTGAATTGCCTCTGCTCAGTTTCCTCTGTGTAGGGAAGATCCTGATAGGAGGCCCCTCTGTTGATTACAGACACGGGACTCAGACACTAAGCACCCAGCCAGGGGCCTCCATCAGTCCTGGGACCAGCCCTCTGGAAAGGGCGAGCAGGCCCTGGTGTCAGGCACCCCTATCAAACCCCAAGAAGTCACATGTAGGAAAATCTTAACCAGATCAGCCCTGGGGCCTTGGGTCTCCCAGAGCTTCTTGATACGCTGGTCTGAGGGTTGGCCACCATCCATGGGAGGGTCTC